CTCCTACTACTCCTACTCCCACTACTGGTGCTTCTCCTACTGCTAAACCACTACTACTTCTACCAGTACCACCACCATCACCACAACTTCTGCGACGACGAGGGCGACGACGGCGATCGAGTCGGGATGGGAGGCTTGGGGGAACGACAACTTAAACGGGATCCGATACAACAATAGAAGAGGGGGGCTCAGGAGCAGGTACGTTCATGTCGTCGGACTACCCTCAAGGAAGAGCAGTGGTACTGCGTGATTTCAGCCCAACCAAACAGAAAACTCCATCATGTTGTCATTGCACTTGATTTGCACTTCATGTTTACTTCATTTGCAAATGGAATTGTTTGGAGGATTCCCAACGTAAACAGAAGAGCGGACTTCTTAACGCTACGCATGAAAGGTATCATTGTCAGTTCTTTCGGCTTGGACTAGCATAAACACAAAAGCCGAGGTGGCACGCCGCATGATCTTTTCGCACCTGGGGCTGCGTCTCAGTAGCTTGTCTGGCAAAGGTGACACAAGTCATGCTCGTAGTAAGACTGGAAGCTACACTCACTTTAGGCGATTGGCAGCAGCTGCAGCTGCAACTGCAGCGGTTGTGGGTAGTTGGTTTTTTTTTGGCGCTAGGTCTGGTCGTTATCATCGGCATGCCACAGCACAACCCCCGCATCAACCGCAGAAGCTAGTACTTTCGAGCCAGAAGTGCAGGCTTGAACGTTCAAGACGGTTTGGTGTTTCGGGCTGTGGCACTGCGAGGTAAGAGCTTAGGCAGAATCAGAACTTTGCTTCGAGCTTTGGTTTGGATTTCGGGCTTCTAGGTGCTTGCGAATGTGGAGAGGTGGTGATGTGATTCTGCCACTTCCAGGGGAGACACTCGGTTGGTGCTCGTGCTTCAAAGAACAAGGGACAGCATCCCAAGCCTCAACCGTAGAGCTGCTGCTCTGAACCCTACAAATCACTGTTACTATTATTACGATCTTTATTACTATATTTATTGCTATCTTCATTACCATTCGTATAATAATTATATTCTTAAATTCTTACTCTTACATACTGTTACCCGTTTTTTATTGTTACTTCTAGATTCCTGCAATCCCGGTGGCCCCCTTCAGGCGAGGAGCAGAAAGCGGAGGAGCGGGCCTTCTGGAAGCAGCGTGGAAGCCTGGGCCCTTTAAAGGATCCCTTGTAATAGTAGGTTTAGGGTTCAGGGTTTAAG